ATCCATCCATCCATCCATCCATCCATCCATCCATCCATTCATTCATTATCTTTACCCGCTTCTTCCTTTTCGGGTCGGAGGGTCACTGGTGCCCATGTCCAGCCATCACGATGCAAGAGGCGGGGTACACCATGGGCAGGTCTCCAGTCCATCACAGGGACACATAGAGACAAACGAGACAAACAACCATTCACTCTCTCACTCACACCTAGAGACAATTTAGAGTTACCAATCAGTCTAACATGCATGTTTTTTGTCTGTGGGAGGAAACTGGAGTACCTGGAGAAAACCCACACATGCACGGAGAGAACATGCAAACTCCACCCAGAAAGGTCCCCGGACCGAGATGTCAACTGGGGGACCTGCTTGCTGAGAGGCAGCAGCTCTACCAACTGAGCCACCGTGCTACCCGCCCATCAACTAATACAAGGAAATACAGAGTGAACTTCATAAAGCACCATTCTACAAAGTGCTTAAGTTAATGCCTGTCATTCACACACACACTAATATCTTTGGAAAACAAACTGGCACCTAAGACAACATTTGTAACATTTAACGTGATTATTAAAAATGTTTACTCCTTAAATAATTAGGTTATTACGTCAATGTTAGTATTTATCTAAAAAAATGTACATACTATATTATATATTTGATACATACAGTATATATAAAAGGCCAGCCAAAATTTGTCAATTTTTATTTTATTAAAAAAGAATTATTCTGAAAAAGAAAATCCTGAATTTTGATCCTAATCATCGTAGCCATCTCAGCGTGCACAATTTACATTTTTGTTTTATAGTTGTTAGGCCAGCCCCCACTCAACATGCTTGTACATGCATGATGTGCATTTGTTACTGACTGCAAATATGTAACACATTCTTGGTAAATACATTAGATATTAATTTTGTGCATCCGTTGTTTATGCTCTAAGTTTTAAGATCTACTCACTTGTAATCTTGTCATTTGACACTAGGTGCACACAGTCTCTTCTTCTCTGATTAGATCATTTTAACTTCCAAAGTTTAATCAAACGGTTGGAGAAACAATATATAAGTGCTTTATACAAAGTTAGGAGTTGTCCATTTTAAAATTGTACAGGAGGATTGTTGTACCAGTTATTCTTGAGGTAAAATAATCAACTTGTCTTGTAATATGACCACTTCAGCAGTAGAATGTCAACAAGTACCGGTAGTTTAAATTAGTGCTTTCAGTCACTCAACCCTAAAAGATTTTCTATACAGATGTATTTGGATCTTTCTGTGACCAAGTCTTACCTCTCTCTTTAGTGGAGACAGCAGCTGGCGACATCTCAGACCATCCCAATTAAAGCCTTGAAACCATCTAAAAGAAACCAAACAACGTTTTAGTCTACATTAAACAAGTTCTTATTTTGTTAATATTACTAGTTCAAATCCATAACTACGGAGCCCCAGAGGGGACGTGCAAACGTGCATGCCCATGCAAACATTTTTGCGTTCTATAAACGTTATTCAAAAGTCTGAAGCAGGCTCTGAAACAAATGTGCACAGTATTATTGCAGGTTCATTGTACAGATAAATGGAAATCACAAACTCACATGACGTCTGCCCCTTTAACCTGTACAACCCCTCGTTAACCGAGCGCATCACACTTTTCTTCAGAAACAAAATGATGAAAATTGAGAAATGCATATATAAAAACACAATAAATGAAAAAAAAAAAAAAAAAAAAAAGGAGCAAGACAGTATGAGAAACTTAAAACAACAAGTTTTTAGCTATCTGTTGTGAGATGGTTCTAGCAGTTTTCCAGTTTTTTAATCTACTTAATGAAGAATAGTACGACTTGAATTCATTCATAAAGCACAGTAAGGAGGGCTGATTATCCCTCCACTTACTACAATGAATGTGGTACTTTGCTATAAGGATGACTATATTTATGGCATCAGAGTAAGCTGAGCTTAAATTATCCATATAAAATAAAATGGCATCAGCATCAAAGGGAGGAATGTTAAGTTTTAGATTAATCCAGTTTGTAATGTCAGTCCAGAAACTTTGTGAGTATTGACATGAAAAAAACAAATGTTCAAGGGATTCATCTTCAGATTTACAAAAGGTACACAAATCAACCTTAAATTTAAATCTTCTGTACAGAAACATGGCTACTGGATATATCTTATTTATTATTTTAAAATGGTTTTCTTTCACTTTAGGAGATTTAGGCCATTTGACAAATTTCGAATGAGCAGAAGTCATTATGGTTTTATGATTTATATTGGGAGGTTTCTTGAATGAATCTTTGTTATAATCATAGTAAATCGTTTGTCGCATGCATTCATTGATCATCTTGTTATTACATTTGAGATCAACGAAACTACAGTCATTTAGTTTTAATGTGGGTATCGAAATGGTCACCTTTGAATATAGAATGATATTTTTAATTAACTGAATCAAGGCTAGAGGGATTGCTTTACATACCTTCATAAAATCTTTATGGCAGCAGCTAAGGTTATATTTTCTAACAAAAGATGAGAAATTTAAAAGATCTCCATTACAATCCAAGATATCTGTTACAAAAATGATGCTTTTTTTCATACCAGTCTTTCCTAAATATTGGCTTTCTGCCCACTGTGATTGCTCTATTATTCCACAAAGTTGATCCATGAGGTGAGAAATTATGGTGAAATATCATTTTCCAGAACTGAAGAACTTGTTTGTGGAAGTTTGATAATTTAACTGGAATCTTCGTCACTTCAAAGTCACAATTTGCAAGGAAGTCAATTCCTCTCAGCTGCTTAAAAATGGAGGCAGGGATATGAAAACACATTGAATTTTGTTGTTGTAAAAAAGTTTTTAACCATTTAGTCCTAAATGTACCAACCATTGCTTCAAAGTCTAGTGCATTGATACCACCATGCTCATGTTTTTTAACTAGTTGGGACCTTTTAATATAATGAGTCTTGTTTTTCCACAAAAACTGTAAGATAATGGAATTGGCTTTTCTTATGTTTTGTGGTGATATATACATCGAATGACGTGGATTAACAGCCTTGGAAATGCCATCTGCTTTAGTCAACAGGTTCCTTCCAAAAATAGATCTCTAGTCAACCAACGGCTGAGACTTTGTTTCATATCTACTAAGCAGTTTGAGATGTTATTATCTTCCCTTCTATTTGCATTCTTAGATACTAATACACCCAAATATTTAACTTCATTTACAACTCTAACTGACTGGATGTTTTTATGAATACATTTATGAATGGGAAGAATCTCACATTTGTCTCACATAGACCTGAAGCCTTAGAGAATAATGAAATTGTATTAAGGGCTCTTTCAACCATTAAATCATTTTTTAAAAACAATGCTGTGTCATCGGCAAATTGGCTAATCTTGTATTCTCTATCAAAAATGTTAATTTCCTTTAACTCAGGATTGCTATTAATTTGAAGAGCTAGTAACTGAGTAGTCAAGATAAACAATTTTGGGGAGATGGGACAACCCTGACGGATGCCTCGCTGGATCTTAAATCTAGAAGTAAGTCCTGAATTTAAAGAGACTGAGCTATATATATCATTATAAAACATCCAAATTAATCCACAAAATCAATCACCAAAACCCAAAAACCTTAAAGTCTCTAACAAAAAGGTGTGTTCAATTGTGTTGAATTCCTTGTAAAAATCAAGGAACAAGATCAGACTATCATTATCAAGGCAGTCACAATAATCCAACATATCAAGGACCAGTCTAATATGATTGTGTATATTTCTCTCTTTAACAAAGGCTGATTGACTTTCATCAATTATATCTTTAAGTCCTCTATTCAGCCGATCAGCATAAACATGAGCTAAAATTTTATAGTCAAGTCACATTTATTTATATAGCACATTTAAAACAGTAACTGTTATCAAAGTGCTTACCAAAAAAGATCACTGCATCAAATATTAATAACATATTACAGCAACATGAATAAAAGCATAAAAACAATTAAATATAATGAGAAACAATGAAATACTAAATCAAATCACCCTGCGTTAAATGTCAGGGAGTAAAAGCAAAATGGATGAACACAATCATCAACAACAAAATACCAAATGAGATCACACTGTGTTAAATGCCAATGAGTACAGATGCGTTTTGAGGAGAGATTTAAAAATAGAGACTGAGGTGGCCTGTCGAATGTTGATGGGCAGATTATTCCAGAGTTTAGGGCCCACGACTGAAAACGCCCGATCTCCTCTGAGCTTCAGCCTGGTTTTTGGTACGGCCAAAAGCAGCTGGTCTGATGATCTCAAGGCCCGAGAAGGAGTATAAGGATGAAGGAGGTCGGAGAGGTATGAGGGTGCAAGGCCATTAACACACTTAAATGTCAGCAGAAGAATCTTAAAATCAGCTCTGACACGCACAGGAAGCCAGTGAAGAGAGGACAGAATTGGAGTAATGTGCTCAAACCTGCGAGTTCCTGTTAGTAGCCGAGCTGCAGCATTTTGGACAAGCTGGAGACGTGAGAGAGAGACCTGACTGACCCCAGCATAAAGCGAGTTACAGTAGTCCAGCCGGGTTGTAATAAATGCATGGACTAATTTTTCAAGGTCGGATCTGGACAGGACGGACTTGAGCTTTGCTATTTGCCTTAGCTGAAAGAAGCTTTTTTTGAAGAACAGAATTTATCTGCTTATTAAAGTCCGAGTCTAAAACTATCCCGAGAATGGTAACAGACCGTTTTAGATATGGCTGAAGAGAGTCCAGGTTTGCAGGATCAGTGACAGTGGCAGAGCTAGGGTTAAACACAATGACCTCAGTCTTCTGATCATTAAAACTCAAAAAGTTTGCAGCCATCCAATGCCCCTTTTGCACTGCCCCTAATCAGCCCCAACTCTGCTCAGCCCTGCACACCCCTACTCAGCCTGGCTCAGCTCAGCCTGGATTTGCACCTGCACTTTAGGACCCATTCTGGAGGCGTGTCCAGAATCTAAGTCCTGCTAATGAGAGTTCTGCTCCTCAGATAAATATTAAATTATTATTTTTATATATGAATGTTTCTGTTCAGTGTCCTGAGACGAGTTCTGTTGTGACTTGGCGCTGTATAAATAAACTGAACTGAATTAAATCTGATGAACCAGATTCTACAAAAAACATTTATATTTAAATCTAAAAAAAGTTAAGTCTGATCCTCTGGACATTCAAAAAACAAAAACAAAAAAATGTAGAAATGTTTCTTCTTTCATCCGAAAGACTTCTTCAGTCTGAGGCGCTGTCTTCAGCTCATAGCTATTTATATAAGACTGAGCTGAAGACAGCTCCTCAGACTGAAGAAGTCTTTTGGATGAAAGAAGAAACGTTTCTACATTTTTGTTTGTTTGTTTGTTTGTTTGTTTTTGAACGTCCAGAGGACCAGATTTAACTTTTTAGATTTTTCTACCTGAATTATTGAGAACGCATCAGGATATCTATATTTAAAATTCTACAATTTTCTTCATCATTTGATGTATTTGCGCTCATTGTGGTTTTGTTTCTTGTATACAGATTATTTTTTCTTGTATACAGATTATTTTTTCTTGTATACAGATTATTTTTAGCTTTGAATTAAAGTTTAGCTTTGATTTAAAGCTTTAATTTAAAGTGTAATGCTTGTTTAGTGATTTGTACATCTGTGGGTTAGAATAATGTTTAACCAAAGGCTGTGTCTCTTCTTTAAACATGTTTGAGGGAAATATGAGAGATTCAATAATTTTTTGTCTTTTTATAATTTTTCAGTTGAATTAACTTTAATTAACAGATTATTTAATTTAAGTCAAAGGGAAAACAGGATTTCATGATAAAGCCGGCACCGTTTATTTATTTTTAATCTTCACGGATAAAAAAAAAAGCAACCTTATATTTTATACATAAAATGTAAAAAAAAAAAAAAAAAAAAAAAAAATTCCACCCTCCGTCCCTCCATCCCGGTCCTCCCGCCTGCCAGGGCTCGATCCGGCCTTTGTGACCAGGCGAGGCCGGGGCTCGGGGTCAACGTCTTGGCAGCTCGTATGATCCTCTGCGGTGACACCACTCGCTTGAATTTTATAGTCGGTCACCAAACACAAAAAACACCTGGACTTCAGCATTAAACACGGCGTTGTCATTATTCTAAAAAAGTTAAATCTGGTCCTCTGGACATTCAAAAAAAACAAAAAAAACAAAGCAAAACAACAAAAAAATGTAGAAACGTTTCGTCTCTCATCCAAGAGACTTCCTCAGTCTGAGGAGCTGTATTCAGCTCAGTCTCTTAAATAGCACCTTCGCAGAGTGGATCAACCAGTTACCATTACAGCAAAGACTGGTTCATCCCAAAGATCCAGTCCCCCGGCACAAACAGAGTAATGTTGTGTATGCTGTTCAGTGTCAGGAGGGCTGTGATCAGTCTTACATCGGGGAAACAAAACAGCCACTGGCCAAAAGGATGGCCCAGCACAGAAGATCAACATCATCAGGCCAGGACTCTGCGGTCTACACTCATCTCCAGGCCAGCGGTCACTCTTTCAGGGATGAAGATGTTCACATCCTGGACAGAGAGGAACGATGGTTTGAGAGAGGAGTAAAGGAGGCCATCTTTGTGAAAAGAAACCGTCCATCGTTAAACAGGGGTGGAGGCCTACGTGTTCATTTGTCCCCCTCTTACAATGCTGTGATTGCTAGTATCACTCAGCCCTCTGTGAACAGTAAACAGCCATCAGTGTGCTAATGATCCATTGTTAGGCTGATGGTCCTTCTTGAGCATGTGATCAACTGGTTTTGGTTGTCAGCAGCAAAACTGGTTGATCCACTCTGAGACGGTGCTATTTAAGAGACTGAGCTGAACACAGCACCTCAGACTGAGGAAGTCTCTTGGATGAGAGACGAAACGTTTCTACATTTTTTTGTTGTTTTGCTTTGTTTTTTTTTGAATGTCTAGAGGACCAGATTTAACTTTTTTAGATTTCTCTACCTGGATTATTGAGCATGCATCAGGATACGTTGTCATTATTGTTTTTAAAATCTTAAAAATAGATCCAGCCGCTGCTCTGCATCCAGAGAAATTGCAAATGGCGGCTCAGTGAAAAGTTTCTGAGATCCAGTGACTCCTCCACCTGACCAATCAGAGTCCTGCATTCACGTTTCAGTCTGGACTCCGCTCGACTGAGCTCGCTCGGTCCCACCAGAGAAGCAGGGACAAAAAGAGGTCCTGAATCAGCCTCAAATCAGCTCAAAATACTAGCTAAAGTGCTGGTGCAAAAGGGTTCTTTCTGTGGCGGGCTGCCCAGAATTGGGGCTTATTAGGGGCGGTGCAAAATGGGCACAAGTCTTGATGTCATCAAGACATTTTAACAAAGGGCGAATGGAGGAGGAACTGTTAGTTGTTAACAGCAGATAAATCTGAGAGTCATCAGCATAACAATGAAAGGAAAGACCATGTTTCCTCAGGATAGACCCTAAGAGGAGGAGATACAAAGAAAACAGAAGGGTGTCCAAGAATGGAGCCTTGCGGGACCCCGCAGGAAAGAGGCACTGAAGTAGATATAGTGTTAGCAAAATTAACACAGAAAATCCTGTCGTTCAGGTATGAATGGAACCATTCTAACGCTGCACCAGTAATTCCAACCCAGTGTTCTAGCCTGGATAAAAGGATACTGTGGTCCACAATATCAAATGCAGCGGTAAGGTCAAGGAGTACCAGGACTACAGACTGACCAGAGTCATTTGCCAGAAGAATGTCATTGCAAACCCTAACTAAGGCTGTTTTGGTGCTGTGTAGTTTCTTAAAGCCAGACTGAAAGATCTCAAGAATAGAATTTCCACTCAAGAACTTGTTTAATTGAGTGAATACTATTTTCTCCAGGATCTCAAATGACAAATAAAGGACCTTGAATCTTTGAATCCTTGAATGAACTTTGACGCTTTAAAAGAAAGTTACAGTACTTTTGAAACACAAGTGCCACCTTGTTCTTTTGGATTTTAAATGGTGAGAAAATTCATGATTTATTAACAGGCAGAAATATACTGAGAAAACTTAGGATACATGGTGCTGCTTTGACAAATACTCTGTAAATATATCTAAAATATTATAACGGTGTTCAGACCAAGCTCATTAGCCTGGTAATTTGTTGACGGTCCCTAAGAAAACCATTGCTCCTTGGAGGGACAGACAGAGCAGCTGACTGAAATCAGACTGTCTGCATGGGATCAAACGAGGAAGTCACTGCTGAATCCACGGCGCATGAACGTAAAATATCCAAAGTAAAACTAATTTTACCACTGCAGCACGATATCCTTATATTTAAGGTTGATTTCAAAATAAAATTCCATTAAATCATGTCATCTGGACCAGTTTCTTTGAGTTTGCGAGAGAACACAAAAGTAAAAAAAAATAAAATAAAATCTCCCATGTCCCCTCTGGGGCTCAGTAATAATCTGTACAAAAACCTACTTGTGCTTCTTGATGTCCGATACACCGTTCTTTTTGTTTCCCAGCCTCTCCACTGGATTTAACCTGTTTAAAGAGAGAGAAAAAAAACATAGCTGTTCTAATTTCTATTTAATACACAAAACAAAAACAGAAGAAACAGGAAAACGGTTCAATTTAATTTAGTTGGTCATTTAAACAAAACTCAAATTTTGAATTTAGAACCGACACAATGAAAACTCATAATAATCACCAAAAACTTTCTGATAATGCAAAATAAAGATCTAGAGTCTATATTTTTCCTCTCAATGCTGTATTTGATAATACAGATTTTTTTTCACAATTGGAAACTGAAAACATAACCAGTGCTGTTTTAACAGTACAAACAACTACTCAAGATCCTTTGTTTGAAAACGATGACTCCAGGATCCGAATAAAACCTCCGGTACACAAGTTTTTGTGTGACCTTACTGAAAAAGGGGTAGCAAAAAAGTTCTATCTTTTGCTGACCCTGGAACAATTCCTGTCTCATAATGCTCTCCTGGACACAGGAGCTGACATCACTTTAATGTCTGCCACACTGTTTGAAAAACTACGGTTAGCAGGAAATCGTGCTGGCAAAGATTTAACCCTTCAGAACTGTTCATTAGAAGTACAACCGTACTCTTCTGAAGAAACCACCTTATCCCAGGTGGCACTGATTGAGATTCAGATTGGCCCAATGACTCTTATACACCCCATATATGTGTCTCAAATGGAATCAATCTCTTTCCTAATAGGACAAGATCTTTTAAACCGGTTTCAGCCTTTGATCTATTTCAAGAATCTCAAAGTCTGGGCGCAAGTACGCCAACCGTTATCCATTGCTTTCTCTCCAGAAGTAACCTCTCAGTGTGCCACACTGAATATTTCTGATGAAACCAACATCTCCCAACCTGATAACAACTCGCAGGAAAATGAGATCCTGCACCAAACTCAGGTAATGCCAGCCACGCATGATCAACCGTTGAAGCTAGCACTAGCCCAACGTGAAACTTTCTTGTGTTCACTGAGCCTATCACCATCCAGTGAATATTACCTCCCACAAATGGTTAAAGGTATCAAGGGTTCAAGAATCTCAAGTGAATGATGTTGTGTTGTCTCTTTGGACTGACAAGTCCACCATCAGCCAAGACCTTTATGAGGCCTTAGTGCTTAAACACTCTAATCTCAAAATGGTTAGAAATTCTTTTTATTTCCAAAACGATTTAAGATAAGTCTCATACCTTAAAAGCTGTGGGTATTTGTACCCTCAGGCTTAAATGGAACCATAGAGATCTGAATCACTCATTTCTTGTGGTTCCAGGCTTACCACACTCGGTATACATAAGCCGTGACATCCTAGTCCGACTTAGTATTCGGGTGGACACCATAAATGATGTTATGTGGTCACTGACAACCATTCCTCAGGTCACCTCTGTCTCTGATCTAGACAACCTTGGATCCAGACAGACATTTCCTGAAGTTCGTCAGGGAACCTCCAACCAACAAGTGAAAACCACCTCTGCTTTTGCTCAAAAGTATATCAATGAAATGACTGAAGAACATAAAACCTACCACAAAGTCTCACATGAAGAACTTCAAGTGGGGGAAACAGTCTGGTATTACATCTTTGCCCCAGTCACAGGACAAAAAGCTTCCCAAACTGGAACGCTTGCCCGTAAACTTCTACCAAGGTGGACTGGACCACATCTGATAACGGATAAACTGTCCCCAGTTCAATTCAATTCAATTCAAAAATACTTTATTAATCCCAGAGGGAAATTATATGTTGGGTAACTCATCATCCTGGTTTCATTAATGAGTTGTTATAGATGCTGATGGCTGTGGGCAGGAAGGATCTCTTATAGCGGTCTGTCCTACAACAGATTTGAAGAAGCCTCTGACTGAAGACACTTTGTTGTTGTATGACAGTCTGATGAAGAGGATACTGAGGGTTGTCTATAATGTTCTTCATTTTATGAAGAATCCTTCTTTGAACAATCATCTCCAAAGGTTCTAGAGGAGTCCCCAGAACTGAGCCAGCCTTCTTTATGAGCTTGTTGATCTTTTTTAAGTCACTTGCTCTGGTGCTGCTCCCCCAGCAGATGATGGCAGAAGAGATAGCACTCTCTACAACAGACTTATAGAAGATATGCAGCATCTTGCTGCAAATGTTGAAGGACTTCAGCTTCCTCAAGAAGTACAGTCTGCTCTGTCCCTTCTTGTAGATGGCTTCACTGTTGCATTTCCAGTCCAGTCTGTTGTCCAGGTGAACTCCAAGGTATTTATACTTCTCCACCACCTCCACTTCTTCTCCCATGATGAAAATAGGGTTGGATCTGTTCTTGATTCTCCTGAAATCTACAATCATCTCCTTTGTTTTGTTCACATTCAAAATGAGATGATTGTTTCCACACCATGCCACAAAGCGGTCCACCAGTTCCCTGTACTCAGCTTCTTGTCCATCTCTGATACACCCGACTACTGCAGAGTCATCAGAATATTTCTGCAGATGACAGGAGTCTGTTTTGTACTGGAAATCTGAGGTGTACAGAGTGAAAAGGAATGGTGAGAGTACAGTACCCTGTGGTGCTCCTGAGCTACTGACCACCTGGTTAGACACACAACCCTTCAGTCTCACAAACTGTGGTCTGTCCGTCAGGTAGTCTTTGATCCAGGCGATTGTTGAGGCCTCCACCTGAGTCTTCTGGAGTTTCTGACAAAGCAAATCAGGCTGGATTGTGTTAAATGCACTGGAGAAATCAAAGAACATGACTCTCACAGTGCTGTCTGCCTTTTCTAGATGACAGTGAGTTTGCTGAAGCAGGTGTATGATGGCATCTTCAACTCCAAGTCCACGCTGATAAGCAAACTGCAGTGGGTCCTGATATGTGCTTGTTTGTCTAGTCAGGTGGGTCAGCAGAAGTCTCTCTAGGACCTTCATGATGTGGGATGTCAGGGCAACAGGTCTATAGTCATTGAGGACTGATGGGTGCGTTTTCTTTGGCACTGGAACAAGACAGGATGTTTTCCACAACACTGGAACCTTCTCCTGGGTCAGGCTAAGGTTGAAGAGGTGCTGCAGAACCACACAGAGCTGCTCTGCACAGACCTTCAGGACTCTGGGACTGACACCATCTGGACCTGCAGCCTTATTCCGGTTCAGTCTCTCCAGCTGCTTCCTCACCTGACTTCTGGAGACGCAGAGGGGGGAGGCAAAGGAGGTATCAGCATCTTCTGATTTAGTTGAAGACCAATATGTAGAAGAAGAGTCCATGACTGAGGTGGTAGATACAATATTTGAGGTGTGACAGGACAGCCTTGGGGCAATGGAGGGTGTTATGTATGTATGTTGTGTACCGTATCAAAATCAGCAAAGGTCAGAAAGAACCTGTCCTTAAGTGGGTTCACCAAAACCAGATTAAGCCACACAACAAACTAAAACATCAAATGATAGAGAATCTTCAGATGATCAAAACATAGGCTAAACAAACTTAAGAAGGTAAAAACCCATATCCTTCTCAAAGTAGAACCTTAAATTCACAAACCCACAAACAAATAGGTAAGGCAAAACACCTTAGACCTAATAACAACAAATCTTTAAGGAAAAATCAACTTTTCTTGACCATGAGATCAGACTAGAAGTAAAACAACTATCGATCGGAAAAGAGTGGAACCTACAAGTGGGGGTTGAATAACTTTGGGTTGCCGTTGAGATTATGTGTTGTTTGTGTTCAAACTCAGCTGATCAGCATGTTAAAAGTTTGGTTTTTAAACTCCACTCAACACTAACCACTGGAGTAATCCTGGATCCTGGAACTAGCAGGAAACATGGCTCACGACAGCGGATAGACAGGATCGTCCCTCAGCACCTACAGTTGACTGTCCACAGCTATGAGGAGCTCAGCAGACTGCTGGGAGGAGTGGCCATCACTCTGGAAGGAGTTCTGCCCAGCATTCAAGCGGTCCTACAGTCCAGGGGAACCGAGAGGCCAGCAGAGTCTGGGTGGACGGATCGGACGGCATCTGCAGCCAGTTTCTTAGGATCCACTGTGGGATGGATCTTTACAAGAGATCCTTCCCATCTACAGCCATCAGTATCTATAACATATCTTACTGAAATGAGGATAACGAGTTACAACAACAAAATAATTTCCCTTTGGGATTAATAAAGTATTATTGAATTGAATTGAATTGAATTGAATTCTGATGAAAGGACCACGAAACAGTGCCAACTAAGTTTGTTTAGATAATTTAATTCATGAATCTGAGATAAACTTACCTAAATTTTAACGTTAAGAGCTAGACGTTAGTCCAAATTGAATCAAATGTAGTCAAAACCCCTTCTCAAAGTCCTCAGATTTATGCCATTTACTTTCTAAAATAATATTATTGGTTCATATTCATATTCAATATTTGCCATAATTGTCATGTCATAATTCAAACTGAAAATAAACATTACAGAACTGTTTTTAAATTACGGATTCTTCGTGTTTTCTTCAAGGGACAGGAATTAAGTTTGTTACAAGAACTCATGGTTTATATATATTTGAGGTGAGGCCGGTCCAGAGTAAAACTTATTAAAGGGTACGGGTTTGACCGGACCAGAAGTCCAATATCCTGTACATGTATTCCCCTACAGGATGCACCGATCCACATTTTTTTACTTCCAATCCGATCCCGATACCTAAATCTGGATACCGGCCGATCCCGTTCCGATATCATCATCATTATTGATTTTATTTGAGGCTGTAATAATCTCCTCTCAAGTAAAATTTGTACACATATATGCATGCATGTCCAAAAAGGCCACCTGAGGTTAGTTTTATTAATGTTGAATAAGTTTCAAAGTTAGAATTAAATTATAACACAAAACTTTTTTTTATTCCTAGCTTTAAAGTGGATATTAAAGTGATTAATTTAAGTGATTGTTTAAGTTATTTTATATATTTTTTTAATAAGGGGCAGATATAATAATTTTTTTCTTCTTTCTGCACTCTTCATTCAATGTTTTCTTTTTGATGAATTTGTTGTTTATTTTGTTTCTTTTAA